ATAATTAATACTTTAAAATTTAAAAAGTTATTATTAAATATTAACGCCTCTTAAAAGCTTTTAACGCTGTCTTCTTCATACATCATTTGATCAGTACCTAATATGGTTATTCACCATGCGTTAACTATATTCGGGATCGGGTGAATTTGGATTACTTTAATTTAAAAATAAAATGACGTACTTAATTATAATTGATATGAATTTGATTTTTGTAAATTGATAATTAATTAAAAATAAAAATCAAGGAGACGATTTATGACTATATCTAAACTGTGCCTGTAATGATAGTGGATGTGTGTCGGTACTGAATTTTGACTATTTGTTTTTGCAAATATATCAAAAACAAGGAATAAAATGCAAGTCCGTATTTAAAAAATTCAAGTTCATGTGATATCGTGAAAATGCAATGTTAAAGAATATCGGATTGCAGAACAGAAAAAATTATAACACTTCCAAAGTAAACCAGTTTTTGAAAGCTGATCGTCTGCGAAAGATTGGATGAAATAATTTTTGATACTTTTTTAAACATACATCACCTTGCATTTGAGCAATATTTAGCAACATTGAAAATAAGATTTTAATTTAACCTTAAAAAATTGCATCTTTTCTCTAAATCAACTGTCCGGACGGTCGTCATCGTAACTCTTCAAGTAACAAAGTAACCAATTTATAGCGGGAATTGTTGCGGATGTTTTTCAGTTGCTGATTCTTCCCCAAGAATATCAATGTTAAATAAACAAAACAAGCAAATTTGGGATGAAGATTTTTTGAATTAAAATGTATATTCAACTACCAACGTTTCACCTTAAAGTGAAAAGGCTTCTTCAGGGAAAGATTTTAAAGTTAAAAAATCAATTTTTTGTAAGTTTTGTGGAAGTAACATAATTTTCACCCTTAGCTAATAAGTTCAAATAATAGTAGTGTATTTAGGGTAAAAAATTTGAATTTGCTGTATATTTTGCTACGTACACGGAGAAAACTAAATTTTTATGGTAAAGCAAAAATTACAATTATATATGTAAATTTGTCGTAGAAATTGTAGAATTTATTAGGTAACTTGTAATAATCTGAATTTTTAAAAATTAATTCAAGTTTCTTAATTATTACAATTTAATTTGTAATATCAATTAAAATACCTAGCAAATTTATTTCTGCTGGGATTTTATTTTTACAAATACGAGCCAAAATTGTAATTTTTATTATTTTCGCCTAGGAAACAAACGGGTTAGTGGGATGAATTGAAAAATATAGCTTTAATATCAGGTAAATTTTCCTTTTTCATTCTCTCCGTGTACATAATTGTTTTTTTATTTAAAATCTTAATGTTAATAACTAGTACAAAATAGGTATTGGAAAATCGATTGTGGTATTCGAACAGACACGTAGATAATCTCATAAGGGTTCCGATTTTTGAGGTACGGAACCCTGACGTTTTTTTGGTTAAAACCACTTGCACACAGATATTCTTTCACGTTCAAAAATGTATAACATAGACAATAAATGTAGGTTTTTTTTTAATAGAATGAAACAAACAGCGAAAATTTCACTAGCATTTATTACAGTATGTCGCCTATCATGTGTTCAATAAATATTAGTGAAATTTTCATCACATCACACATCACAAATTGTTTATTTCTAATTATGTTTCGCCAAATGATAATGGTAAATACCTTACATTTTTTAACTAATAATTAAGTGATTAATAAGAACAGTAATAATTTTCTCAAAATCATCTGTTAAAATCCCTACCTTGCTCTAGAGAAATTTTCCGTGAAATCCATGAGATCTCCTTCACATGCTTTCTTATGATAATTAATTATTATCTATGTATATTCCAATACCATCACTTAGAGACCATAATAATGCATACAATGTATTAAGTCATAACTTCACTATTTTGATGTTGAAAAGGACTAAACCGCACCATAATTAACGATACCACACAGTCGATGGGACAAAACGTCGTAAATGACAACGTTGTGAAACAAATATACGTAAAGCTGGCAGACAATGATAAAGATAACATTTTGCTGTTACCAACTCCAACTGTTAGAACTTTTATTCCACTATATATTTTATACTATAAATATTCTAGCAGAGCCATCTTACAAATAAAGTCAATATAAAACCTTGTTTATGATAAAACAATTACAGAGTAAAATGTGCTCCATTTTTTAAAGAGATAGTAAACAAATGATTCATTCGTCGTTGCTGTTATCCGTAATACCTAATTGGAATGCAAATTTGAAAAAAAAAAACATTTATTAAAAACCATCGGATTTGTAATAGTGGTGAAAGTAAAAAGAAAAGTTGTTTTGATACATTCTAATTTTAGTAAAGGTCTAGAGGATGGGGGGGGATCGAAAGAGGTCTCACCCACCACTGTACTATAAAAAGTTCGTGGCGGTCTCACCCCCATAAAAAGTTATAGGGGTTCAAAATTAATAAATATGCCAATATTCATACATTTCTAGGTATGTAAATATTTATATAGTCATTCTTAAACAATATTCAAAGGTAAAACTAATGTACAATTTGCAAAACATTTTTTTTTTAATTTCCTATTGGCTTCCGAAAAATGACCCCTATGTTCAAAATTAATTAAACTAAATTTCAACTTAGGTAATCGGTCCAGTACATTCGGAGCAAATTGACTGTGACAGACGGACAGACAGACGTACGAGTGACCCTATAAGGATTCCGTTTTTTATTCTGACGTACGGAACCCTAAAAAGATTATTCTTATGTAAAATCCGAACTCTAGTAATGAGAAATTGGAACGTTTCTTAGTGGGTCTTTCTGACTTTGAAGTTTTAGTTTAATTTAATCCTTTCTACAAGAAACCCACGAATTCCTTCAAAAAGTAACAACTCTGTTCTCTGTTGCATGTGTATTGTTGCATTATTAGGGGCTACGTTTACTAGGCAACGATATGTATGAACATAAATGTATGTATGTATGTACGGTTGTTATAAGCAATAATGTTAAAGGAAAAAATTAGAGTTCGACATCCTTCCAACAGTAAAAAAAAAATTAATATAAAGCGAAATAAAACGACCTTGACTCCTGCACGATACCTTCAAGGACTATACTTTTATTTTGAGTGAATATCCATTACTAAAAAGCGTATTCGTACACGTATACTACTTATACGTATGCTCTTGAAAAGAGTCGTAAAGATTTTAGTACCGCTTCATCCAAAGCTTCGTTAATGGTATATCTATCGTATTTGTTTGCTAAGCCATTAACATTACAATAAAGATATAATTGAGTTAAGAGGATAAAAACAACTGATGAAGAACTGAACTACCTGACATACAGGATGTTTAAACTACTTTTAAAGCAAAAAAAATCGAAGCAGAAAATTGTTTCAAGATGTAGAATGCACACGATAAAAATCAACTGAGACGAAGCAGTTTAAATGTAAATTGCTTGCCAGCTAAGTTTTCAAGAAAGCATTTTTTTAATACCTGATTTTACTTACTGTACCGCAATAAAATGAAACTAAAAAACAATCGACTTGGGGTTGTACCTAAGGATGGTAAAGGGATTATGTCATCGGTCATTTGTTTATGTAATGTTATGAAATAAATTAACTATGGAATAAAAGTACACTGCAACGACAAAAGTCATTTTATGAGCGTTAAGTGATGAGCAAAATAAGACCAAGGTCAAGACCAAGACCAAGACCAAAACTGTCCTAGTCTTGCTTATTATTTCGTGATCATGGTCATGCTCAAATATTTCCAATATTGGACCTCGACTTGCGTGTTAAATCTTGGTCTTTTTCATTTAAATAACACGGAGAAAATTAAAAAGCAAAATTTACCTAAATATTAAAGCGATATTTGCAATTTATCCCACTAGCCCATTGCTTCGTAAGCGAAAATAATAAAAATTACAATTTGGACCCGAATTTGTAAAATTAAAATCCCAGCAGAAGTAAATTTACTAGGTATGTTAGTTGATATTACAAATTTAATTGTAATAGTTAAGAAACTTGAAATAATTTTTAAAAAACATGCCAACATTGAGATTATTACAAGTTATACCTAATAAATTTTACTATTTCTACTGCAAATTCAGTCATTTACAACCGAAAATTGTGATTTAGTTTTCAACTAATACGATACCGAAACCGAGAAAGTCCAAATTGTATTTGCAAGGTGTTTGTCAATTTTTTTTTCATATTAGGATGATTGTTCATACATAGAATTACACATAATTATAAGGAAGAAAGACGCTCAGTATTGAATTATCTTTTGTAGTTATTTCAAATATATTGTTAAGAATAAAAATGTGATTTTATATAAAGGGTTTGATATTAAAACTAATTCCTGAAGTTAAAAATGGCTTGATTTAGCTAGGAAACAGTATTTAAATTGCGTTGTCTGTCTTGACGGGATACGGCGTTACCTTACATTGTGATCATTCCATTATGATAACGAATTTCCTTGGTAGGTTCGACCCTCGGATGCGCCTAATATAAATTCACGGAAAACCTTATGTAGTCTGGGATATAATCGATATTCACTGCGACCTTCTACTTCAATTATGAGGTCAAACTCATCTGCTAGCAGCTTTAATGTTTCTTCTGAAATATTAAACCTTGGGTTTCGCCGATTGCAAAATAAACAGGGTAGTAAATTTTAATTATAGCTTTTGCGCATGTTGGAAATGCATTAGAAATGCCTTCAGCTCGACTATTTCGAAGTTTAATTTCGTTGNTTTTAGAATTGAATTTGAAATTGTTATTTGTCTCGTAGCATTTTGACATACCTCCAAAGCATCCTTAATTTTCTCCGTCATGGTACTTTTTTTAAATAATTTTTTTAAGCATAAATTTTTCTATTTGCCGACACAATAATTGTCTTCAATGCTGAAATTTTCTGTTATACATACGAGCTTGTCATGACCTTTAAAAAAAATAGATAGCTCCTACACATAAACTGACCTTTTAGAGAAAAAAATGTTACAAGATACTTGAAAGAAGTAAAAATATCGAAAAAAAATAGTTTGTATCCAGGTATATTTCAATCATGTGTTATCCATACATACACATACATCGAGAACATTCTTTTAGATCCCTATTTCAGACACTTAAAGTTTCTTTTTTTTATATTTAGTGTTATAAAATCGAGTAAACTGAAATTTTCAAATAGGTAGATACTAATAATGTTTTGTTCTAAAAAAAGAATATATTGAAGTTACTTCAAATAGTTTAACTGACGCAATAATTTTTCGTACAGTCTTAAGTATTTGGTCTTGGTTTTGTATATTCGATCTTGGTTTTAGTCTCCGCTTTGTTTGTTCGGTCTTGATCTTGGTCTCGCTAGTATAAACACGGTCTTAGTATTGCATTTTCGCAATATTTTACTTTATTTTTAAGTTAATTATTTTTACTAATTTCTTTTTAGACGGATATGTTTAACATCATAAGGTTAAGGGAAGGAAGACGACACCTACTTTGTGAGGGATGAAATTCGTGAGTGTTGTCGTTGCCATGTATTTCCTTTTACATCATAATCATTTTATTCCATAGTATTACAAAAAAAATACTGACCCGACGACTAAATCCATCGGGCAAATGTTGCAATTACATCCCTTTAGCATCCCCCACAACTCCAAGTTGAGGGATTCTTTTTTTTAGATAATTATCATGATTTTTATTTTGTACCTAGTTATACCTGTGAGAAAGTACCTAATACCTTCCTTACGTTATAAATTTTATTCCCTTGCTTATTAAAACTCTACAAGAAATTTCGATGTTCAACTATTAGCATTAGATATGAGCCGATAACCCGTTTTAAATCCCCACTGGGTAGCGGATCTGGTACTTTTTTTAGAATTCGGTCGGGTACCGGATAATTCTACCAGAGAAAAAAATCTACCAAATGATACCCAAGATAAAAATGTCCAGTCTCTCAGAGTCTCTGATGTCGCTGAGAGAGACTGTCGAAAGACTGTCAAAAAAACTGTTTAGCGTTTCTGAACGAGAGACTCAAATCGCTTATAGAGAGATCCTCATTTCGTATCCAGTCTCTGAACGAGAGACTCGAATCTCTGAACGAGAGACTAGAGTCGCTCATAGAGAGATCCTCATTTCGTATCCAGTCTCTGAACGAGAGACTCGAATTTCTCAATAAGTGGTGTCTCGATAGAAATGGTTAAAATTTTCTAAGTTCAACATATTTCAGAGATCTTTCTACGATTTCAATTTTTCAGTTTTATTCATTCAGTCTCTCTGTGAGAGACTCGAATCTCTGAATTAACAATTTTATCGTTCGAGTCTCTCATACAGAGACTGTGAGAGATCCATAAAAACACCTAGGCAATAACTGAGAAACTGTGAGAGACGCTGAAGGACTTTGAAAGATTGAGAGACTGGAGAGAGATTGAAAATGTTTGTCTAGGGTAATTACAGTACGAATTTTTTAATCGACATACACTGGCCTTTCAAGGTTTATATTTTGTGTGATCAATTATTGATCTATATGGTACAGCAGTACACCGATGGAAACAATAAAAAAATTTCGTCAAGCGAGCCAAGCTCCCCAACACCGATAATAATCCATCTCTATCCGTCTCTAATTGGTATTGTAATTGTATTGAAATTATAGTAGGTACCTTCCATTGTTATAAGTTTACTAAGATAAGTTTTTTCTTTTGATGACGTTTAGCCCAGTATTTAGATATCTTCGTTAAGTCAACATCAATCAACTGGAAATATGTGCGTTTTAGTATAGCCAATTGAATTGTTTACAAAATCGTTGAATGGAATTCGAAATTGCCTGTCCACGAGTTGAATTGAAGTGCACCACCCACTAGTAAGAGGATTCGTACTCGTTCTCATAGTGACGAGACGTTTCAAACGGTTTCAAACAGTTATTACAAGTCTACTCTTCATAATAGCAAAGTAAATATTATAATACGTACGGAATATTAGTAAATGCAAACCACTAAGAAATTGTCTGGCAACAGGAGTGAACGAACAGTTATTAAATTCAAAAGACGCAATTTAATATGTTTTTAATG